CAACACAAAGCCTCAGTCCAGACCCATTTGTTTCAATTGAATCTGAATTGCATGAATAAATGCCCTGGACATTCACGTTGTGTTAACAGAAACCAATATTTGTTCATTCATCTGCTTTATATGACCATTGAACAAAGACACTGTTCTCTCATTCCTAACCCCTTTTTCAAAAACCATGCACCCAAGTGCAGAGACACCACCACACGCCCTCCCCCTCCACAGGTAAACAATGAAGTAAGTGCCCATAAGAAGATAAAACACTGAACCGCCCATATGTCTCAGGAATGGACGCTTTCTCCCTGGTCTCCATTCAGACCCCTTAGCAGTTTGAATGCAAAGGCTTCTACAAGTCCAAGAAAATTTTAACCAGAGACTTGAGTCTCTAGGAGCCACTGAGACCTTGGCTCATCTGGCCACCCACACTTGCTCTGTCCCCAGCCTCTCCACCTTCACACACAAACTCAAGCCCACCTCCAATACTGCTGGGTAATTTCAGATCACTTCCTCACAGTATCCTTCACCCGGTGCCTTCACCGACAGAGACTTCCAGGTCACTGATGCCCTTACATCACTAAAGAAACATGTAAAAATGGAAAATTATCTGCAACAGTTGAATGAATATTGGAGCGAGACCCACAAGCCCTGGAAACTATTGGGAACAAGAATGGAACCATCAGTGCCCAATGCTGAGACTTGTTATTTTCTCTGCTGCCAAAGGGTATTGCGGTTCAAGGGTTGTGCACAGATCCCAGCAGAGGCATTGATAGAAATCTTGAGTTTGGGCTTGTCCACTTGTCAATATCCTTTTGCAAGAAAACCCTACCATTGTCACTTTGCTGAGGAAGGAGATGGTCACTGATGAAAATAAATGAGAAAAAATAATAGCAAATGTCTAGTGTTCTGAAATACTTGATTACTGATGTTTGGTTGGGAGGAATGGAGTTCAGAGAGTCCCCAAGGAACATTGATTGAGCTGGTGGAAATCGAGGAAGAGGCACCCAGGATTTCCAGGGGACATGCACACCCCACTATGGCTGTAATCGAGGCCACTGGGGAAGAGAGTATTTTTGCTGTCTACACATCAATGAAAAGAAAGAGATTGGCAGAGCAGATTAAAACTCATGACCCAACCATATGCTGCTTACAGAAAAGTCCTTTTGAATATTATAGTAGAAACAGGCTGAAAATTAAAAAAAAGATGGAAAAGATCAGTGGTGCAAATATTACTCATGTAAAAAGAAGAATGAATGGCTGTATTGATAGCAAATAAATTAGACCTCAGAACAAAGAAAATTACCAGAACAGAGGGGGACATTATATAATGATAAATAGGTGACTCCTCCAAGAAGACAGAGCAATCCTAAATGTGTTTTCCCAAACAACAGAGATGTGAAATATGTGAAGCAGAAACTGACAACTGAAAGGAGAAACAGGTAAATCTCCAATTATAGTTAGAAACTTCACCACCCCCTCAACAATTGACAGAACAGCTACATAGAACCAGGATTAGAAGTATTCCATAACACCCCCAATGAACGGATCTATTGAGTTTTGTAGAAGTTGATATTTGCTGAGGACATATTTTTTTCAGGTGCACATGGAACATATACCAAGAAAGGCCATACCCTGAGCCATAAAAAAACTCACAATGTTTAAGAGAATTGATAAGTGAAATAAGCCAGTCAATCAAGGAAAAACACCACATGATCTCACTCACTCATGGATAATAAAGACCATTATAAACTTATGAACAAAAATAGATACAGAGGCAGAGCTGCCTCGAACAGACTGTCAAACTACAGCGGAAAAGCCGAGGAGGGTTGAGGGGCGGGACGGGGGTGGGTAAGAGATCAACTGAAGGACTTGTATGCATGCATATAAGCATAACCAATGGACATAAGACACTGGGTGGTAGAGGAGGCCGGGGAATTGTTAAGGGCGGGGGAAAAAGGAGACATATGTAATACTCTTTGTAATACTTAAAGCAATAAAACAATTAAAAAAAAAAGAAGGGACAACTTCAGTCTCTGCTCACCCTCAGACAGCCCTTCCCCATCATTTATGGCATGCTAGCTCTGTGAGCATGATCGGCCTGGTGTAATTTAGCCTCTTTATACAGGTTCTGAGAGCAGCAGCCTGGTCAGGGAAGGCATGTTCCCAGCTGAGTTAAGAGTCATCCTCACAAAACATTGTCAACACCACCACTGTGAGCAGCCTCCTCCTCGGTCCACTCACAGTGGTTTCAGGAGATCTTTAAACAGGAGAGATTGCTGTCTATTTCTGACAAAGGAAGAAACAGCAGCCTAGAAAGAGTAGATAGCACACACCAAGCCACACACTGCCCAGATCAGGAAGCAAATCTAAGTCTTAGAGTTCCTCTGTCCCTCAGGTAACTCTTCAGAAAAGAATGTGGGAACTGTGGTAATGAAACCACAAGTCAGAGT